GAGACATGGGGAGGTGGAGACACAGGGGAAGTGTGAAGTGTGCTGTCACAGTGGATGAAAGGCAATCAAGCCAGAAATCAAAACGTGTACAAATTTTTGGAAGAAAAGCCAATTCACTGGGGAAACTGTCCTCTAAATCTGGGGACACGATGACCATGGTGCCCACTCTCAAGCTCACCCACACTCAGGAGCTATGAAGCCACCACCAGGGCCCAGTCACTGCCCAGGAAGCCGGCAGGTGGTATGGAATCTGGCACTGGATGATCACCTGCCAGCCAAACCGGGGGCAGGTAGCAAGGGGCGCCAGCACACACCCCGTCACTGTGGAGTAACTCTTGCCCAGTGCTCCTTGGGGACCAGCTCCTCCCCATTCAGAAAAAGGTAAATATAGAAACCAGCCCCCCAGCCTGGGCAGAGACAGCGCGGGACCTGTGGAGGGGGAGCCCAAGCTGGAAGTGCATGCTCCAGCCCTCTCCTTCCCGGCCCCTCCTCCTTTCTCATCTTCTCCGGGAGCCTGCAGACACCAAGACACTGACCTGACTCAGTCCTCAGTGCCAGGCCTTTCGCCTTCAGCCTCGAGTGGATGAACTCTTCTTTCTCCTGAAAGAACCAGAGGTGCCGTCACCGCCTGTCCTCCCCTCTGCTCCCAGCGCATGTCCGTCGAGGAAGGGCCATGGCAGAGCCCAGCGTTAACCATGTGACCTGGGTTAAACGCCTCATGCTTAAAGGAGGATCTGAAAATGAGAGGTTCACCGAATTTGGCCCACACCCCTGGGGATGTAGTCGCACGTGCACATTCAGGAAATGCACATCATTACGGGGGTGCTGGTGGCTGCATGGCGACGGATTGCTGCTGGGTTTTCCTGCGGGCTGAAATACTTATACTTCTTTCTCATGTAGCTTATTTGGGTAATGAATATGCAGCTAAGAATTCTGACTTCTCAGGAAGAACAACAGGTCCCTGGGATTGGGCACGGCGTCAGACAAGCTCTCTGCCACACCCTGTCTGCGCCTCTGAAGGTGCCTCAAAAAGTCCGATCAAAGTAGCGGCTTCTCTGCAAGGCAGCCGATCAGCTCCGGTATGGCACCTACCTGCAGGACTCGAAAGGGTCGTCCTGCAGGTTTTCTCTAAGGACACAGGCGGCCCACAGGGCTACTCAGCAGAAGTGTCAGGGAAACTGAAAACAGTGGGGGTGAGAAAAAGGCCAGGTAAGCTGCGCCGAGAAAGTTTCTTCTTCCCTTGGGGCTCTGCGGCTGCTCACTGTCAGCAAGGGCTGTCCCTCCAGACCTACCCACCCCACTGCCCTCACCTTGCCCTTCAGACTTCTTCTGTCCCCCAAACGCAACCAACATCGAAAAGGAGCATGACTTGAGTCCCTGGGGGACGCAAACACAGCCATTGGACACGGTTGAAATCGTGGGAGGGCTTGAAAGGGAAGCAGGGAAGCGCCACCTTCAGACGTGTGCAGACCCACATGGAGGGCACGTCGACAAATGGCCGCTGCCCACTGTTATCTGTGTTTAATTACGTTCTTAAAGACTTGTAGCAACACTTTCTGACCGACCTGTAAACACACAAACCGGTCCACAGAGGCAAAGCAAATCCAAAGGATTCAGCACTAGCACCCACAAGTGGTAAACTGCATGATCTCACACTCTAACCCTAAACCCGGCCTGTTGTCAAGGCAGGGCAGACTGCCTCACTTTTCTCTCAAGAAGCAGCTGGTGGGTTCGAACCACTGACTTTTTGGTTAGCTGCTGAATGCTTAACCACAGCGCACCAGGGCTCCTTTTAAACGTACCTTCATAAAAGTTGAATTCTGATTTGCCCAGAACTCCTGGTTCCATTCCTGTGTTTCTTGTCTTAGCTCCCGCAGCCTCTGTTCCAAGGGTGACTCATCTTCGGGGACGTAGAACTGAACAGGTCGGAGGTTGGACTGTCTGTCTGGGGGTCCGATCCAGTCATGGCAAGACTGTCTTGGTGGGCAGAATCTTGAGGCCTTGAACAAAACACATAGGAATGACCCGTTCCAATGAGACCCACTCTTATTAAACAAAGGATACAATCAACAATCTGGTTTTATCAGTTTCCTGTTCCTTCCTCTTTTTAAGACTGTGTGCCCAAGGAATTTCCTAGAAGTAGCAGTATTCTTGACACTACATTTTCAACAAACAATGCCTTAAGAATTCAATATTTTGACGGTCAAATAACCTCACCACATATAAAAATGTGTTAAACTGACAGCTGTATCCAGGGCCACACAGAACTCACAGCAATACCCATGACTGCAGGGTTTATTGGGGAAGTTACAGGCGATCACAGATCAGGACCAGAAAACAGTGAGATAAGGGCTCTGGTCCAGAGCAGCGCCTCTCCTCGGCCAGCAGCGCCATCTCCCTCTGGTCCTCGGCATCTGCCTTGTTCTGTGCAGCGGGAAGCCTGCCTGCAACTCTGCTTCAGTCTCCGGGTCTCTGGCTGGAGTGCTGTGGCAGCCCTGCTGGGGGCCTCTGGCTCTTGGCCTGGCCTCTGCTGGCCCCCCACCCCCCCCACCCCCACACACCCCCCGAGGCAAGGATCTCCAAAGAAGCGTGCTCCACCGCTGGCTCTCCTTCCTTGACGGGCCAGAGAGTTCTCTTCTTGCTTCTGAGACGGTTCTTACAGCCAGAGGACTGCCCAAATCACCAGCCCTCAAGTCAGAACCCGCCCCTTACTTGCATGGTCCCGCCAGTCACGTGGCGGTGTTCCGGGGCCGAGGCTAGAGGGGCCAGAAGCTAAGCAAGTACTTCACTTCATCGTGACCCCCATGTCCCCCAACCAGAGTCAGCGGTCCCTCCCACCCTCAGTGAAACCAAGCCACGTGCCGCACTGGCCATGCCTGCCGCCCAGGCCTGCTTCCAAGTACAGGTGTGACTGAGGACTAGGGTGCGCCTGGCCCAGGCCATGGTATTGCCAATCACCTCACACGAGGTAGAAGTTGGACCCTGAATAAGGAGACTGGAGAAGCAGCCATGGACTTGATTCTTGGAGTCGGTGGCGAACAGAGAGGACCGTGCACCGCCAAGAACAAGCAACTGGTCCTGGAGGAAGGACAGCAGAATGCGCCCTAGCAGTGAGGACAAGGCGGTTCCAGCTCTGGCTCTGGGTATCTCAGTCCAGGGGGGCATCGTGCCGGGTAGAGCACAGGGCAGCGAGGAGAGCAAGGCCTGCACGAGCTGGCTGACGCCGTGGCTGCAACAGCGCTCAGCCGTAACGACGACGGTCTTGTTCTGCTAGACAGCCACCCACTGAGAGCAGCCGGGAAGGGCAGCATCACAGGAAGGTGTCCATCCACAACCACAGGGCCAAGCTTGAAAGCACTGCACCCAAAGGCCACTACCCTGGCATACCAGAAAGAGCCATCAGCCGGGGGCTGCCTGAGGAGGGGCGTTTGGGCCCACCTACAACAACACAAAGTTTCCCTGGCGCCTAGAAGCCCCCTCCCTGTGATCAGCGGCCCCAGGGAGGGCGTGGGGCTGACTGGACTGCTTGCCGATCAGCCACCCTGAAAGTCAGGCAGCAGCTGGTGTCTGACAGGAGCCCACCCGTGGACACCCACTTCGTGTTCAGTCTCGTCAGGGAGTCATGAGGACCTTCAGCAAAAGGGGGCAGAGGGGGCTAGATGCTCAACAGAAAGGTTCACGTGCTCAGTTCCAGCGCACCCACACCTCCTCCCTGTCCCCGCGTGGGTCTGGATGTCACACAGGCCCTGGAGGGAGGCAGAGAGCCCGTGTGGCTGGGGAGGAAGGCAAGTCCCTGTGGACAGAGGAGCACGGCTTGAACACAGGCCTGCAGGGCGGTCACAGTGCCACGAACGACGCGAATCCGGAGATCCTCAAATTGTGTCGGGTGGCCTGTTGGGAGCGTGGCCAGCTCGTGGCCGGGAGGTCCAGAGCACTACAGTCACTCCCTGGGGAGCCCTCCCTCCCTCCTGAGCTCCGTGAGACAGTGCATGTGCTGCTGGCTCACAGCGACCCTGGAGGCTGGAAGTCGCCCCACAGACTCCGTGACACTGCCACGCCCCATCTTCGCCCACAGAGATCAGTGGGGTCCAGTGGGGTACTTTAGCCTCTGTGCCACTAGGGCTCTGGCCACTGGCACTCGTGGTATGTGACTGAACGCCACCATGCTCATCACTGAGAACCTTTCCAGGCTAGAGAGACGTGTGCCTGACGGAAACGCCGAAAAATACATTTCACTCCCTCAGACTTCCAAAATGTTTCTAGAAAATTAAACATACACGTTCTCTAATATTAGACTCAAGCATCCTTGAACTAGTATCAGCCTTATGGACTTGATCTGGCTGGGCTGAGATGTTTGCTTTATGTATAATTACTTCTTGATATAAAGTTCTTTATCACACATTAAAACTTAAAGAGAAATCTTGACAAATGTGGACAGAACCTGAAAAGAGTGAGCAGAACTGCGGGATATGAGCTGACGGATACTGTCATCAGAGTGGGGCCCACTGTCCGTGAGTCCACTCTGACTCATGCAACCCTGGAGAGAACTGGCCCCGCCCACCCGGGGTCCAGGCTGGCTCCTGACGTAATCCCCCCGCCTCCCGAGAGGAGGGTGGTTCAAGCCTCTCCCTGTGCCTCCGCATCCTTGCCATTGAGTGGAACTCAGGGCTCACCAAGACTCTGCAGTAGTCCTGGGCGTGTGTGTGTGTGTGTGTGTGTGTGTGTGTGTGTGTGTGTGAACTAGCTTCCCCCACCTCCCCCCAACGGCCTCAGCACCGGTGAAAGGCCAGCCCCAGGCACTCAGCTTGCTTGCACCTGTTTAGCATCCAAGTTCACGACCAACTTGACTGAGCTAAAACTGGGCAGCACACCTCTACTACCCATGTGTCAGTCTAGGAGTGCTGGTGGTGCTGTTATGCACCGGGCTGCTAGCCTCAAGGTCACCAATTCAAAACCCCTAGCTGCTCTGTGGGCGCCAAGATGAGGCTGTTGGCTCCCATCAAGATGCAGAGTCTCGGAAATGCCCAGGGCAGATCTAGGCTGTCCTGTCGGGTCCCAGGGGTTGCAAATGATCCAATGGCAGTGAAGGTGATTTGGTTTGGTTTTCCAATCTCTCAGTTTGTCGTGGCTGGCCTGGAGGCAGGCCACCAGTACTTTAAATGCCAGCAGGATCACCCCTGGTGGACAGATTTCAGTCGAGCTTTCAGACTGAAACAGAACAGGAAGCCAAGCCGGAGAGCCAACTTCTGAAAATCAGCCCATGAAATTCTACGGCTGCTCACAGGACCACGCTGCCAGCGCAGCCCTGGAAATGGAAGACAAGCCCCTGGGTTGGACTTGAGCGCACTGGCCATCGTGAGGGTGGGCATCACCCAGCAGCGCACCTTGCCAGTGTCCATGGGCTCATTGGTGGTGAACACAGGCACCCTGGGAGGTGGCAGTAACGAGCAACTACAAGCCTAAGCCGTGTCGGTGGTTCAAACCCACCAGTAGGCCCTGGGGGAAAGCGGAGTCAGTCTGTCTGCTCCTGTACAGACTGACGGCCCGGGACACCCTCAGGGGCAGCTCTCCCATCCTGCAGGGTGGCCGTGAGCAGGCAACATGGCGGGCTCGGCAGGCCGTGCTTCAGACCAGCATCAGTCGCCATATGTCACAGGAGGGAAACTGGGTCAGAGGCACCACCCGGGTGGAGTTCCACGTGTGGAGCCAGCAGCGCCATCTCCCTCCTCGTGTGACAATGGAGGAGCCCTGGGGCATCACTGTGGATCAAAAGGTCAGTAGTTTGAACTCCCAGCTGCTCCTGGGAGGGAGGAAGACATGGCGGCTGGCTTCCATAGCAGTAACAGCCTTAGAGTCACGGTGGGGCCTCTGTGTGGGGCAGCAGGCAGGCTGGGCCGGGTTTGAGCCGCACGAGTGAGGCGGCCTGTCGGTGGGGCCTTTGTCATCTCACCCACCTGCCAAGGGCTGGAGAGCCTCATCCCCCACACCTGCCACTTCTGCCCGCCGCCAGAAGCCCTTCCTGCGCCTGACTCCCTCCCAGCCTGCGGACCTGGGGGTGTCTACTCTTGGGAGAGAGGAGGCAATTCCAAGAAGGAGCTTGCGGTGGGGGGAGTTGGTGGAGGGGAGCTGCCTGCAGCCTGCCCTCTACCATTTGAACCCTACACTGCGGGCAGCTGCAGGAGTTGTGACTGTCATCAGCTGGTCACTGTGGGCGGGCCACCCTGCCACCCAGCCACCCAGCCCCTCAGTTTCCACTAAATCTTGAGTCTCCCCTAAAAACAATCCTGCTCCAGGGAAGGCAAGAGCCTGCTGTGAAGGAAAAGAAGAGCCTTTGTCGGGAAGTTGTTACCATGGTTACCACACCCCCAGGCGGGCACACGGCAGGGAAGCAGGCCATGCCACGGAGAGCAGGCCCACTCACCCGCAGGCTGGCTCTTCACATTGAATTTGGCAGCCCCCTCACCAGGAAGGTGACATGGGGGAGGGGGCACTGCATACCCTGTCCCTGTGCCCAGAATCTCACAGAGACCCTGTGTGGGTACTGCCAGCCACCCACAGGCACACGTCTCCCTGGTCCAGTGCTGCGGCCGCTGCCTCAGGCTCCAGAGGGTAGACAGAGGCTGCTCCTTGGGTTAGCAGGCAGAGGGAGTCAAGGGTGGGGGTGAGAGCCCTGGGTGCCAGCCTCTGGCCACGGGACCCTGCAGCCTTTTAAACAGATCGGGGCACACTGGGTGAGGTGGCAGCTCCCCTTCCTGTCCCGCTGGGACACTGGGCCCTGGTCTCTGCCAGTGGGCCTGCAGCTCCCTGACTCAGCCCCACAGCCAGCACCCTGCAGTCCCCTCGTGGTCAGCGGCCACTTCAGGCTGGCGTGGAGGCTTTTCTTCTCGGTCACATTGCTGTGCCCTGCGCCCAGGGCACCCACCCACTGCCCACTACGTAGCGAGCGGGAGCCAGTGGGGAGAGGGGGGTGTTGGGAGAGGCTAGGTGCAAATGCCCATGC